CAAAGAACCTCAATCTTTCCTCATTTGGCCAAATCGAGCATTAAGGACAATATCAATCAAGCATTTGATTGATTTATCATTAAGCTAGATTTTTATGCATTTATGTTGATTTATTTTCTTATTAATTGTCATAATTTTAGCTATGCACGAGCCTATATAAGCTCACCTTATTCCATTGTAAAACATATCCTTGAATTTGAAAGAAATAAGAAAAAAACGAGAAGTTTTCTCTCTTTTGAAGCTTTGGCTTCTTTTGCTTGTCTTTTCTACTGTGTGCGAATCCTTTAGAAAGCAAGTTGGATCTTTATCTTTGTGTGTGATTCACATTGATATTGATTCTTGTTCTTATCACAAAGTCATTCCGCAACTTTGTGTGGCGAACTTCGATCCATTCAAGCTCTAGGCCTTGAAACCTTGTGATCAATAAGTTCGGTGGATTCCGTGCTTATATCACCTTACCCTGTTGCATCAACACACAACCCAAACCAACTCCCGAAGCATCCGTGTACACCACATACGGCTCTCCCTGCTTTGGTAAAGCCAAAACCGGCGTACTCGTCAACATCTCCTTGAGTTCAGCAAAACCCTGCTCACACTCGGGAGTCCACACAAAGGAACATCCTTCCCCGACATCTTGGTCATCGGCTGAGCTGTGCTGGCAAAGCCCTTCACAAATCGTCTATAGTAACCCGCCAATCCCCGAAAACTCAGAATCTCCATGGCATTCTGCGGTCTATGCCAATCTCTGATAGCTTCGATCTTCTCTGGATCCACATATACTCCCTCTGCAGACACGGTATGACCCAGAAAACCAATCTCTTTCTACCAGAAACTGCACTTGCTAAGCTTAGCATACAGTTTCTGCTCCCGCAGCTTCTCCAACACTGCCTGCAAATGTCCCTCGTGCTCCTCAGGGCTCTTAGAATACACCAGGATATCATTGATAAAGATGATAACGAGCTCATCCAGAAACGCCTGGAACACGCTGTTCACCAGCCCCATAAACGCCGCTGGTGCATTAGTCAACCCGAAAGGTATCACCCCGAACTCGTAATTCCCATACCTCGTCTTGAACGCCGTCTTACGGATATCCGCCTCGTCGATAGGAATCTGATGGTACCCCGATGCCAAATCGATTTTAGAGAACCATGTAGCTCCCGTCAACTGATCCAACAACTCTTCAATCCGCGAGAAAAGATGCATGTTCTTCACCGTGACTCGGTTAAGTCTCCGGTAATCGATACACAGCCGCAAAATCCCATCCTTCTTCTAAACGAACAACACCAGTGCTCCCCACGGTGAAACACTAGGACGGATGAAACTCTTACCCAAAAGATCCTCCAACTGCTTCTTCAGCTCAGCCATATCCGCTGGAGCCATCCGGTAAGGAGCCTTAGACAACGGCGTCGTCCCGGGCTCTAACTCAATCGTGAAGGGATAAGACCGAGATGGTGGTAATCCCTTCAACGATTGAAACACGTCCTCAAAGTCCTGGACCACCCGGATCTTATCCACTACTACCTCTCTGACCGTCTCTGGAATCACAATCGTCGCCAAGTAGGCTTCCCACCCCTTCCGGATCATCTTCTCCGCCTACATCGCCGAAATCACTAAACTCCCCAAAATCGGTCTCACACGCTGGTAATACATCTTCGGTCCTGGCCGCTCGAAATAGACTCTCCCTTGGTGACAATCCAGATGAACTCTGTGCCGATCCAACCAGTCCATGCCCAGAATGACATCATACAGCTCCACCGGACTAATGTATAGATCTGCCAGCATTGGCTCTCCCTCAATCTGTACATCCACACAACTAACTCGTCCCTAAACCGCTAGCAACGCGCCTCCTGCTACTCTAACGGCTCCAAAACACCCATCGGGGTCTCGTCGGATGTTACCATTCGCCGCGCACTCCGGGGTAATGAAGATATTCGTAGCTCTAGAATCGAATATCAATTGGAACAAGAACCCGCCCACCAACAGGATTCCTACACAAACCCTTTTCACTAAGACCGCCCACTCTAAAATCACAGGAAAACATCACAAATTCTAAAACCACATAAAGAAACAGACTGAGTCTTAGAATTAAACCTGTGATTCGCCGTCCAGTGCTTGGCTCTCCTGTCACCACGGTCGTGTACCCCCGCAATCCCTCGATCTTTGCCACCGAAGGTGCTCCCAGCTGATCCAATGGCTGCCCTCCCAACTACAATCCTGGCTGCACCCATTGCTGAACAACTGGCTGCATTACCGGCTGCACCGCTGCTATCGCCATCTGCTGCAACTTAGGACACCTCGTCTTGATGTGCCCCGTCTCTCTACAGTGGTAACAAACACGGGTATCCACCCATGGATCGCCCTTCTTTGGGTAACTCGCCATCCTGTGATCCGTGCTCCCACACTTGAAGCACTTCTGGTCACCCTGACTCGCCCTGGAAGTGTCATCCCACTTCCTCTTCTGCCCCTGAGCAGGTTTGCCACCTCTGCTTGGAACCGACTGCGGTTGGGTCTTCTTCGGCTGCACCGACGGACTAGGAATCACCCCGTGACTCTTTAACTCGTCTTCGATCCCGCCGCCACCTCAACCAGCTCGAAACGCGATGCATAGGCTCGCACCTTGCACCGCACCCTCATGTCCGGGCTGAGACCCTTCATGAACCGACGCACCTGCATCTGCTCAGGATCTCCTGCACGATCCGAGTACACCAAGAGTCGGCTAAACTCCGAGTTATACTCCCGCACTGACCGCTCGCCCTGAGTCAATGCCAAAAATTGCGACTCCATCCGGTCCAGTGCCTCCGCCGGGAAATATTTGGCATCAAACTCTGCCAAGAAATCTCCCCATACGGCCAATCCCTGCCCCCTCTTGGCCAGCACACTTCGCCACCACAATTGTGCACACCAGCCAAGTAGTGGACCGCCAGGTCAACCCGATACGCTCACCTCATCGATTGGAAATACCGCTCCAATCGCACTGCCACTCATCCGCTACCGCCGGATTAGAGCCTCCGAAGAACAAGGACATCCCGAACTGCTGCTGCTGCTCCATCATCCGCAGGTAGTACGGCTGCTCGACCACCGCACCTACCCCCTCAGGCTGTACAACTCAGATAACTGGCTGCACACCAAGCTCAACAGGTTGCACACTAATCCCTACAGGAGCCTGCACCTCAGGCCCAACAAGAGCGTGCACCTCAGGTCCAACAGGAGCCTTCACCTCATGCCCAACAGAAGCCTGCACCTCATGTCCAACAGGAGCCTGCACTGGCGGTACCGCCCTTGGTAACCGCTCCAAGAGCTGCGTCAGTAGATCCGCAAGCCGCTTATTCTGACCCTGGGCTCCACCTACTGGAACACCCCCAACCGGGTTTCCAGCAACACTAGTACAGTCCATAGACGAACCGGCTCCCACGGCACTCACACTCGCACCACTGAAGGGTCCCTCTTGATGCGACTGGGATTCACTGACAAAATCGGCCGTAACACTCTGGTCCACACTCGTATCGCTACCTGAGGCAACACCATGCCCCCTACCGCGACAACTCCCACGACCACGATCACGACCGACAGCTCCACCTCTAACCATCTACAACACAACAGAAGGTTAAGAACACCGCACAAACATCACCAATTCACACAACTTACCCACCACTGGCTATACACACAAGCACATTCAACCATTATCCAAGGAAAAGAACCAAACAACCAATAAAATATCTCCTCTCCAAATCACCATCATGATATGAGCGAGTCTCCAAGGGGTTCCACAGGCATCAATCATCATATAAACATCCAAACAAGCAAATAAATCAATCAAACAATCATCAAAATACCCAAAACAATGATCAAACATGCTTAGATAAGCCTTGGTCATGCACTCACCTTATACAAGAAAGGACAGCAACAAAACAGGGAAGAACAGGGAAGGATCTGCCTCCTTAAACAGCACACAACACAAATCTAGCCTCTACTAGCCTTAAACCACCAAGATGAGCCACCAAACACCACCAAAAGACTCACAAAAACCCTTATATATATATATATATATATATATATATATATATATGCATATTTTTTAAAAACGTAAACAAAAGGAAATTAAATTAATATCTGTACATTTTTTATAGGGAAAATTCCTTAAAAATTCCCCATCTAATTTTAATTTGAAAGTTTAATACCCAATGTTATTTGATTGGAAATAAAATGCATGGTTTATTAAATTTTGTTCTATTAATACTTTAAATATATATAAATTGTCGAATCGAATAAACCGTTTAATCGGATTGATGGAATCACTAAACCGAGGTTGACGAAATCACTAATCCCTAAACACACGGGTAATTTGGGGTTATCCGAAGACTGCATTGTCTTTCGCTATTACCCCAAATCGAATTGGGATCGATAAACTCTAAGTTTAGTGTAATTCCATTAACCTCGGTTTAGTGATTCTGTCAATCCGATTATCGTTTGTTAAGCGATTTCTTCGATTCGACAATTTTTATATACATGATGTATTAATAGACAACAAATTAATAAACCATGCATTTTGTTTGGAATCAAATAATATTGGGTATTAAACTTGCAAATTAAAATTAGATGAAGAATTTTTAAGGAATTTTCCCGCTAGAAATTAAAGTGTACCTTACAATCTTATAAAAATTATGTATATTCCTTTTCACCAAAAAAAAATTTATGTATATTTCCTCGATTTATTTATTTGTACATACTCTTGTTACTTTGTTAGTTTGGTGCATCAACGAATCAGAATCAATAACAAATTGTAAAGCAATTTAACAAGTTCTGTATTATTCAAAAAAAAAAAGTTCTGTATTATTCTCTTTATATACGTCCCTTCATTACTTTTATATTCTGAATTCTTCTTTTAACTTCGGTATATAAACCACTAAATTCACGAAAAAAATATATTACTAAAAGATAAAAAGTGCAAAAATAAAAAACAAAATCATGAGAGGCGCCATTTTTAATAACTTTGACCGCTTTGGGATTGAACTCGTGAAATTTTCAATTACATTGGCTAAATTTTTAACCAACACGAAAAGAAAAAAAGAATCAAAAAGAGAGAAGAAACTAAAATCAAGAATGAGCTGAGGATGGTGTATGTGTTTGTGATGGAGGCTCATGGTCTAAAGAGTCTTGTTTCTCTCCATCAGTCTCATCAAGATCCGCCACGTGTCCTTCAGATTCAACAGAGACACCGGAGGAAGTATGGTGCAAAGGCTGCCGAGGAGGAGGAGGTGACGGTGATGGCCGGTGGTGAGGAATGATATGACCGTCGATACAAGAACCACATCTACTCTCAGCCCATCTCTCCATATCGTAATCTCCATACCCTAAGATGGTTTTGCCGGAGCAAAGCCGACCAATAACGCTAGCAAGAACACATAGAACAATGACGATGATAAAGACGGCAATAAAAGGACCAATGGTGGTGTTGCCGGAGGAGGAATGTTGTGGAACCTCCGTAGCTGGTGGTGGTTGCCAGTACAATGGCATTGACGCCATTGTTATTAGAAGAAGGAAGAGACACTTGAAAGTTAATGGGAAGAATCTTAAATGGTGACCTTTGAAAAATTTAGTATTTTTTAATTAATTTTTAGGAAAATGAAGTGAAATGGTGAAGACAGTGCATTAAACCTGCAAGAGAGACTGTAAAAAAAGGACAAGAGCTAGAGAATCTATCAGAAACAAGAGACTTCAGGTCAAATTTGGACCGAGAACGACAACACTAATAATAACAAATTTTTTTTAAAAACTAATAGTAATTAAAATTTTAGATTTTTTTACCTTAGTTTCATTAATAAAATGATGGTAACTTTTGGTTATTTTTGGGGATTTCTTATGAATTTTGCCAAATCATTCAAATATTTTAAATGTGCTATTTTTACTTCAATTTTGTGGATTTGTCATTTTTAAGTGTTTAGAAAAATGTGTTTTAATGATTTTTATATGCTAAAACACATAAGAAAACATGGAAAAAAAAAACTCTAGTGTAAACTCGTGTTTGAGATCTTAAAAAATAGTAAATAAAAAATATTTAAAATAAATGGAAAAAACTATAAATGCCACTGAAAAAAGTCTTTATCTAATTAACTCTTATTTTTGGTCTTTGAGGGAACTCACTTTTTCAGGTTCTGTCTGAAGCAATAGCGTAAACATGGAAATTGGAAAACAACGTTGTCTTTTGTGTGTTGTTAAGTTGCATCCAACTAAGCTAAACTCAGTTAGGTTCTGTCGGCACTCTCTCTTGTGGCGCGTGACTCCCACTGTAGAGATTTTCTAAGTTTGCTTTTAAGGAGATATGTTCTTCTTTTGTGAAAGAAATTATATCCAATCTTTTTAGACTACGACCTGTATCAAAATTTTATTGTTGAAAAAAAACACTTAAACCATTAAATTAATTAGATTTAACAACATATTATTTAAAACCCCATATTAAAGCTCAACTGATTTAAAATATAAGAATTATACAATTTGAGTGTACTTGATTTTTTATTATTCAGATTATGTTAAATCAATATTTTCAGTGGTTCAGATAATTTAACAAGTTTGAGGGTCCGAATGGTAACAGCATAATTAGTAATACGGGAAAAATGTTTTTAAAGAGCGGTACGGTAGAACTGTGGGACAAAGTATTTGCAGGACAAGTGCGGTTTCTGTAGAATAAGCGGTATAGAGTAATGTTTGATTGGTAAAATAAAGAATTTGCCGGACAAAAAAAATTTGTGAAAGGTAAAAATAAAGAAATTAGTGTACTATGGGAAAAATGTCAAAAAAATCTCCAACTTTCAAATTGTGGACGAAAAAAGCATGAACTTTCGAGAAGTCATTTAAATCCTAAAGTTTTGTTTGACTTTCAGATAAAGTGGTAAAATTTCATTGACCTGGCCATTTTGGGCATGACGTTAAATTTCCGTTAATCGAACTATCTTTCTATTAAATATCCTTCTCAGACTCAAATCGTATCCACATAGGATCGAACTCATGAGCTTATGGACTCTCCACATGCTTTGAACCATTGGGCCTCAATAACATTTCAATGTTATTACAAACAAAAAATACATATAAACATATACGCATACATATACATATATATATATATATATATATATATATATATGCAATTAATTAAAAATAAAATTATTTATTCGTTAAATAGAAATTTATGATTTGATATAAAACTAAAAGAATATTAAGTTCAATAATTACGATGAAATACAATAAAAATTATTAAAATAACAAAACTAAGATAAATATGAAATAAAAAAACTAAAATTATTAATTAAAAGCCATGATTTTAATTTTTCTTCCAAAATACCAGAATTTGGTTTTTTTCCAAAAGTACCACAAAAGTTTTATTTTTCTAAAAATATCATAAACATAAAAATCTGATTTTCAAAGATGTAGAATTTTTTTTTTAAATGTTTGGGTTGACTATTTATATTTAGGGTATAGTTTTTAGGGGTAGGGTTTAGTGTTTAGGATTTAGAAATTAATTTTAAATGTTAAAAAAATTAGTTTTTGTTTTGTGGTATTTTTGGAAAATAAATATTTTAATGGTATTTTTGGAAATATACCTATTTTCATGGTATTTAAGAGAATTCCCAATTTTATATTTAGTGTCTATTTAGTTTAAATTTTAATAATATTTTTTTATTTTATGTATATAATAATAATTGTGTATTTTAAAAATCAAATCAACCATTGAAATTTTTAGTTTATTATTTTTAATTAAATGTGTTGTCTTGTCTATATACAAACTTTGTTTGGTGTAATATACTGATGTTATTGTCGCTCAATGGTTAAGTGTGAGAGAAAAAGTGTGCAAAGGTCATGAGTTCAACCCTTTATGAGCGCACTTAGTTCTTATTTTTAATGAAACGACGTCGTTTTAAAAAAAAAACAAAACGACGTCGTTTTGGTTGAACGAAAACTCTAACAGAATGTTAACTCAGTTAACGGAAATTTAACGTCATGCCCGAAATGGCCTGGTCAATGAAACTTTACCATTTTATCCGAAAGTCAAATAAAACTTTAGGATTTAAATGGCATTTCGAAAGTTCATGATTTTTTTGTCCACAATTTGAAATTTGGAGATTTTTTTGACATTTTTCCCATTATTTTTTTATATTAATAAAACATATATTTTTGTAAAAGATATCATAAAAAGGACATTAGCAAGAATTTCTCAAAATTTATTTGAAATAAATTTCAAAAATATATATATAGTTGTGCCAATTAAAACTGTTAAATAACAAAAATATAATAGAAAACAATTATTTACATTTGTTTAAAATAACTTCTTTAAGAACTAATAAAATTATATAATTTTAATATAACTGATTTTAAAAAGTGAGAAAAATAAATTTCTGATTAGACATTAATATAAACATATGTTTACAAAAGCGCACAAAAATTTCCAAAACACATGAAAGTATGAGCGTTATTACTGTTACATGCGTTTTTCAAATTTTCTTTGTAAAACTGAACCGCACTTTGAACCATTTTTTTATTAGCAAAAGTACAAACGCACTGCATTTTAAAAATTTGTGTTGATTGGTAAACTAAAGTGGAATCTACAAAAAATTGTCTCGCTTTTACAAATCCACCGTTCCCATTCACGCCCTGAGTAAATCATCTAAAACTACTTTAGGTCAACAAAATTTATTGACTAAATGTTTCTAGTAAAGATATTTTTATAATCATTAGTTGAACAATATCCAATTTTTGGTTAGGTTTCAGGATGGAAGGAGAGTATACAAATTTTGAAAGAATCATCTTTTTTTTTTTTGTGAACCATAATATATTAAGATAAACTCAAACTCCAATAAAGGAGGAGATGTTACATGAAACAACAATAGTCTTCAGTACAAGATGAAAGGAAAATGTGAGAAACTTGGTCTTATGAAATCTAATATCGGTCTTGATATCGGCGATTTCATTTGCTTGGCCATTGGAATTGAGAAGAAGAATGAGTTCTTTGCAATCCGAATAACAGGCCAGCCTTGATACACCCAACGCTAAAGCCACGCTGATCGTGGCCTTCAAAGCAAGTGCCACTGCTATTAAAACAGAGGAAACAAAGGGTCTTGAGATCCAGTTTTGTTGGATAGTTGCCTTAAGTGGATCCTTGATGAACCACACCAACTTGCAACAAAAACTTTTAGCCATCCATGATTTATTGGGATAGTTTGACAAAGATGTCAGCTTCCATGAAGCCTAACCCTTTATAAAACCTGTCAACACCACAAAAAACACCAAAGCTAACACTTGGGACTAAGCCCTTAGCAACATAAACAATTAGCACAAGGCTAAAATAGATATCTAAACCTTAACAAATAAATGAAAGTGAATTTTAACTAGTTTACAAAATTTGGCCAAAAAGAACTGAATCAACTCTCTATCACTGGTCATTACAAGAATAACACAACATTTATGTAAAAATTCCAAAAACCTTAATCTTGAAGTGATAATTAATATAAAATTTTGATCACACATATATTAAATCTGTCTTAATAGTTTTTTGTATTTTTTTAAAGATACTAGATTTGGACCCGCACGTACGTGCGGGAATGATTTCAAAATCAAAATTTGCTATTAAATTTTGAAATGTATTACGTATGTACGGGGTATATTTTTAAACATAACTTTGAGAAATGCTGTTAAACATTCATATTCTAAAGTCTAAACCCGTACCAGTTCAATATTTGATTTGTTTTTAAATCAGTTTACATAAAAGAACGATACGATTTGGCTTTCTTAAAGTCAGCAGTACATTAAACAAATAGTAAAAGAAATGTGGTTTGTCTATGTCGTTATGTCTCGTGAATCATATATTTGTCATGTTTTTCCATCTTATAACTATTTTAATAATAATCTATCCATTTTAGATTGTATATTTTAGTCAAATATATAAGAAAATATGCAAAAAATAAGACTTACACGTAAATGTAGGGTTTTTTTTGTTGATAAAATTATTTCCAATATAGCATTTATAACATAAATTATTGGTTTGATTTCATGAAGTTTGTGAATGTCGGACCGACATGATAGCGTATACAAATTGAGTGTTAACTGTGAGCTATCAAACTTGATAAAAACAATGAAAGAAATTTAAACATCTGGCCCCAGATGTCCTAAATATATTTGTCACTGAGGTCAAACACGTTCGCTATGCATGCTCCATACTTCAAAATTGAAAGAACCCACCCCGTTTTTTTAAAAAAAACATGCAAATCGGATTAACTCATTTAAAGCAAACCAGTTAACCAGCTAAACCGACTCTGAATGGATCAAAACATTTAAACCCGACAATCCCACTAAAACAACCCAATCAACGTAACCAGCGGAAGATTTAATAAAAATCCAATTGAACAATTCCATTAAACCAATAAGTTCAACCATCATTATTCCAGAAACATAATCATCCTAACATGCTTCTAAATTCCATTCTAACACCCTAAAAAATCCTACAATAATCTAAAACACCAATGAGCGCCTAGATCATCCTCCTCTCCTCGCCATGATTCCACGGATCACACTTTGCTTTTACCTGCATCAAAGA